TTTTTTTTTTAATATTGGAGTTGAGTTTATAAAAAAATCAAAAACTAAAAATTAAATAGGTTTCTTTTGAGTTTTGATTATCCCAACAAGTTAGATGATCATTCTATGAGATTATTGCAAGTCCTACCTTTTAATAATAAATACAATATATTAATCAATTAAGCTATGCTATATTTAAAATTTTTTGATACTGACCTCAATTTGATTTCCGAGCGCGACACGATGCATGGCATTGTTTCCTTCGTCATCACACCAATTAAGTATTGAGGTCATGCATGTTTGTTGGATCCATTGGAGCAAGATTTTAACCGATTCAATATCTTCACGTTTAACAGCAATATGTAGAGCAGACTCATTACGATTGGTCAATTGTTTAATAGATTTTGGGCATGAAGTTAGAAACTTGGCCAATATATCATCCATGCCTCCCGAGGCTGCAATGTGCAATGGAGTTAAGCCATCTCTCCCTTGTATGCATACGAGATCTCGATCGATATCGACGAGCCGCAACACAGTTTTTGTTTGGTTATTTTGCAATGCCAAGTGGATAGGGCTATAGCCTTCTGGGTTAAGCTTCTTGGCTAAGGATGGTTTCAACCTCATGATCTCCAAAGAAAAAGGGACATGTCCTGCTGATGCTGAGATGTGTAATGGGGTATCAACAAAAGGTACCTTTCAAAAAGAAGACACAAATCAATCCCAAACCCTAATAGTGATGCTAAACATATGAACAATAAAAATCTTTAGCTGTTTTGAGTTCATGGATAAGTGGGATAACAATTTGACCTATAATGTCTTTTAACCATTTGAGTTTTTGTTACTATTTAATATATTAGTATAATAGTGTACACAAAATAGCTTTTAGATGTTTCATTTTTTAAAAAAAATCAATTTTTTATGATCAAGCATCTTTAAATATTTTATTGAGTTTCTTCCCAAGTTCTTTCATTTATATGAACATATAAAGGTATCTATTTTCTCCCTTCAAATAACTTGTTTGATAACTTGTTTGAGACCCTACTTTTATGACTACTCGATACAAGTATCTTAGTCTATCTCTCGATATTGGAAGGGGCATTTTCTTGTTCATTAGTTCTCCTAACATCTAAACAAAATGGTCTTTCATAAAGGTAGCTTATCTGCCTAAGAGAGATGAAGAATTAGTCGTGTTACCCTCACAGGATCAATTTGGGCAGGCAAACAATGCCCTCCTAATACCCGAGTGAGAGACCCCTATGACAATTGAGGGACCTAAACGTTGCTTTATACACCGGGAGTAAAGCCAAAGACCCCAAGAGAGAATCCTCATGTCAACAGTTGCCCTCTTTAGAGGCTTGTTTGAAATTCTAGGTCACGTCTTCATGGGTATTATAAGGTTGAAAAATTAAAGTATTGACCATTCAGATGGTAATTTTTATTTCATTTAAAATAATATATGGTCCAACCATTCAATGCCATGAATTCTTTCATTTCAAATGCAAGAATAAATATGTTGATACCTGATCTATGCGTTCTAAAATGTAGGCATCTTCTTGAAGTATCAAATATAAGGAGTCGATATCTCCCGAAGATGCAACTGCGTTCAACCTTTGGTTCATTTTTCTTTTGAGAAAACTGCAGCATGAACAAAATAGCGTGATTAAGGATCAATATTGTGGTAGTTTTTTAAGTATGAGCACAATTCAATGATTATATATTATATATAAATATATATGTTGCGCTGAAATGGACCAAAACTGAGACTAAAATTAGACTTACAAATGAGATGGATGAAGAGCTGTGTGGAGACCGCCAATTCGAGTTCATTTCCTGGAGTCTTCTCAATGATTTTCTTAGCAGCTAAGATAGTCAAGCTTCTGCAGCTCCATTATTGACATGAACGAGGGCGTTGACTGACTTGTTAGGTAAGGATAAGGTTATTGGTTGAATGGTTGAGGAGCGTAATTACGAGTCCATTTCTGCGCATGTTCTTGTTAATTTCTCTCTCATTATTCATTACCCAAAACTTGAAAAGTATACCTAGGATCAAAATAACTAGGTAATATATCCATTTCAATCCATAGATCTTCCCTAAGTTTAATTTTGTATCAAACTTGATTTTCGTTCAAAATAGTGAATTTTAAGCAATGTTGTTTAAATCAGGAGACCGAGAACTGTTTCTACACTCATTAGTGGCAGAAATCATGAGCTCGAAGTCCACTCTCAAGACCATTTTACATATTTTTTGTCTTAGACTTTGTCCTGTTCCTACACTTAATAGAAACATTCACTCTAAGTCATCTACCTGTGTAATTTTAAACCCTTTCCAAGGCCGATTATGGCATCGCGGCTTCAACTTTGACCCATTTTACATTCTATAGCAGTCCTCGTCTTAAGCTAACTACCCATATAGTTCTAAGCCTCTCTTGCAGACTTGTTTATTGAGTTGCACGTTATCCTTGATCCGATGCTACACTCATTAGTAACTCAAGTAACTTCACGGTTCTGATGATACCATTCACATTACTAGTAAGCATTTTAAACTTTCTTAATCATTCATTGATGTCGTGGAGGTTTACTGGGTCCTTAGGGGCATCTAGATGGTTTAGTCCTCATCTCGCGTTTCTAAAACACTCGAAGTTAGCTACTCAAGGCTAATCCAATTTCTGGGTGCACTTAGGTCTAGACCTTTGATCGCCGCTCACAATCCTATGGTGCTCGGTCTACTGAAAACGTACTGATCTAGGTCAATGTGAAAATCACTCTAATTCTAGTGCCCTAATCTTAACTTGGTTCACTCATATATGTTTTGTTAGGGAGATATTCCTATCGATCGTTTAAAGCAGGGAAAACATAATCTAAACATTCATGCAAACTCAACGGGGAGATAACATCCATCAATCACTTGGAGAGCAGATCACAACATCCCATCCTCTTTTCTAACGTAGCAAAAANTAAGTACGACCTTCAACTTGTACTTCTTATGTATATATTGTTGTGATTTAGCATTTCTTTATTCGTTTCTTGGATTCGCATCTACGTGTATTCTCTCGTAGGTATGATGGTTTTGACCCCCTTATTCCTGCTAGTCTTGAGTGTGGGGACGGGGCAGGGGCTTCCTCTGCCATCACTATCCGACCTATCCAGTGAGTTCTCGTGGAGCATGTTTTAGCTCCTTGAATTTCATGCTTAAGTTCGATTATGCTTATGAACCTCATTAGATTGACTCATATAAATTAAGGGCATGACTCTAATACTATGCTAGGAATCACGAACCTTCACAATGGTATGATAATGTCTATTGTGAGCTAACTACTTCTCTCAATAATCCTCAACAGTAATGATCCTACCTCGAGACGAAGAGTCTCAATAACTTGAAAATAGCTATGAGAACCGTAATGGGCCTTTTAATATCGTACGATATTGGAAAAGGGCCTAGATCAATGAGGGTTAATGAGAGCATGATTGGGTTAATATAACAAATTCCAAAAAGGCCCATTAACAGAATATTGGGATCAATGAACTCATAGCCATGAAACAATATTTAAAATGTCCATTGAGTTAATATAACACATGATCTTAAGCACTTTTAGAACATCAATTATAGTAAATAACTCCTTTTGTAGTTCAAATTCTTTTTTTCTCACGAATCGATTTCGAACTACTACTAGTGTCTTCTCCACTATTCTCCGGCCTTAGAACGGGATTGTGGAATCCGGTGAGTGACTAAACTTGAGAGAAATTTTGTATATATGAAGAGAGTGTTTGTGAGAGGTTTTTCTTAAGGTTTTTCACCAAGAAGAATACCTTTTATGTATTATGATCACTCTATTTATAGAGTCATGTTTGCATGTTCATGCAAATTTGAGATCACCAAATTTTGACACTCAAAATTCCACTCAAATTTGTAGGGTTTATTTGGCAAGTTTGGTTAAACCAAATTTTAACACCTCAAAATTCCACTAACATGGATTTTTCCATTAAATGAAGTCAACATTTTGACTTTCGTTCATTTTGATTCAAGAATCAATTTGAATTATTAATTTCAAATTAAAATAATATTAAATTATTAATTAAACTATTTAATTAATATTTAATATTCATTCAAATGTCAATCCCAATTAATTCCGGAACACTTATTTGATTAAGATATTTAAATCTTATTTAAATTATCTCATATTCTCTCTTTTTGTTTAATTCGTAAATAAAACAAAAATGCGGTTAAATATATCGTATATATGTAGTGCATTCTCTCTAATTTGAATTTGAACACTTTGAACTCACTTGTCACACTATTCTATGGTTTAGTCCGATATGAGCTAGCAAATGGACCTAATGAACCTATAGATCATGGGCTCAACCGATCCAAGATTAACCGGTTAAACTCATTAACCTTGTTAACCAACATTCGTTAACTACTAGGACATTCCACTATAGCCTAGTAGTGGCACTCCTCTCACTATAGATATATTTCTGTCCATTTGATATAACCATGATTAGTAAGTCGATCCTTCACAGGTTGTTCGTAACTAGAGTTGGGTCAATTTACCGTTTTACCCCTGAAGTTACTTCTTGTTTCTTATGTCTCACTGATCCTCTAATGAACAATTGGTTTGTGGTCCAACCAGTAAACCGGATCCCTCTCAGGCCAATGAGAGGGTGGGGCCCCTTGTTCAAGACCTGGAGTCAGTAATTAAGGGAACTACCTCTCTTCTATCCCTAAAAGTGGGTAGGAGTGAATTCCATCTTGCACCCCACGTCCCCAGCCATTTACCCAGTCTTACCCCTGAAATGGGAGGCCTATTGAGTCGGCGAACTTGAGCCACTCTCACCCATGCAAATCTAAGGATAATTCCGAATAAACAGGAGTTCATGGTTAGCTCAGGATTAAGATCGAGTTACCTAGGTCATCGAATGAAAAGAAAATCAGTCTCAACAGTAAACGACATTATAAAGTGAGAGTGATTTTCTTCATGGTCCGATCTTATGCAATACTCATTGCATAGGACGCCCCCACTCACATGTCTTCACATGTACAATTTTAGTGATCGCATTGTTTATATCATATACAAAAGTGGGCCGCATCCATAGTGTCCTCATGATAAGGTACTCAGCCTTATCCTTATACTATAGATCATTTTGACTATATACTTGAACTTGATCAACTCTTATGTCTCTACATATAGTTCAAGTAATCATACTATAGCCAGAGTGTTCTTAGTTTATTGGATTTAGATTAATGATCGTAAAGTTCACTTTATTCAATAACAACCTTTACTGAATAAACAACAATAATAACTTTATTGAAAATAAAATATGCTTTTGTTTACAAACTATGAGTTTTAGGACATAAAACCCAACAAACTCCCACTTGGACTAAAACTCTAGTGGAGTTTTATAACGTTGAGTAGAGAGAAAGACATAAATACAATAAACTAGGGCATCACATACTCATGCCTTTTCTCCCACTTGCCCTAGATTACCTAACTCGTAGTCCTAGACTCACTAGGTGCCCTTCATACACTTTAGCCGTGAGGGGCTTTGTAAATGGATCAGCAATGTTGTGCTCTGAAGCTATCTGTGTGACGATCACATCTCCTCGTTACACAATCTCTCTTATGAGATGATATTTGGGCTCAATATGTTTTCCTCGCTTATGGCTTCTTGGTTCTTTTGAATTTGCAAACCCTTTGCTCGTGATCCTGTTCAATGAACCCCTCTGGTTGAGCCATATAGATACTCTCTTCAAGATTGTCGTTTAGAAAGGATGTCTTAACATCCATTTTCCAAATTTCATAATCATAAAATGTGACAATAGACAAGAGTATTCTAATCGATTTAAGCATAGCAACAGGAGAGAAGGTTTCTTCATAGTTCACCCCCTCTCTTTGGGTATAACCCTTTGCTACTAGTCGAGCTTTAAAGGTCTGTACCTTACCGATTTGGTCTCGTTTCCTCTTATAGATCCACTTGCAACCAATAGGTTTTACCCTATCTGGTTGATCTACAAGTTCCCAGATTGAATTGAAGTACATTGACTCCATTTCAAGATTCATGGCTTTAATCCACTGATCTCTATCTTCATCATTCATTGCTTGTTCATAGATCAATGGATCCTCAATGCCATCATCAGGTATGATGACTTGAGTTTCTGCCAAACCCAAGTAACGATCGGGTTGAGTTATAACCCTCCCACTACGTCGAGGCATTCTCAACTCTTGAGAAGGATGTGATTGACCAGAAGTGTCAGCTCCATCAACAACTCTTATTGAAGGACCAGCTTGATCAACAACTCTTGTTGTTGTATCAGTAGCTTCTTTAGAAATCTCACTTAATACTTGTTCGCTACGAGGTTGATGATTTCTTACGTGATCTTCCTCTAAGAATGTAGCGTTTGTTGATACAAACACTCTATTTTCTTGAGGGTCATAAAACAAACCATCTTTCGTCTCTTTGGGGTATCCTACGAATAGACATAATTTTGAACGACGTCCTAATTTCTTGGAATTTTGCACCAACACATGTGCATCCCCAAATTCTGAAGTGACGTAAACTACCTTTACGCCCTTTTCATAACTCATAAGGTGTTTCTGAAACACTCTTAGTAGGAATCATGTTCAAAATGCATGTAGCAGTCTCCACTACATATCCCCAAAACGGATCGGGTAATTGAGCGAAACTCATCATAGATCGAACCATGTCTAACAAAGTTCTATTTCTCCTTTCTGATACACCATTTTCTTGAGGCATACCAGGGGCTGAGAGTTGTGACCTTATTCCATGTTCTATCATATAGTCCTAAAATCTTAAGT